TGCACCCGCGACCCGGTCATTGCCCGGGAGTAGGAGCGCACCGCGAAACGCGCCCAGCGCCGCTTCCCTTCCTTCGCCCTCCCCGGGTAGACAGGTGGACTAGTTCCCGGGACGGCCAGCACCCGGGCGCCCTGCTTCCCACAGGCAAAACCGCAGCTTTCCTCTCATCCGGATGTCCAGCAAGCCCCTCACGGAAGCGCTGGAACGTGTGGCCGGTGTCCGGGGCCCATTTTCTCCGGTGTCAAATGGTACCGCTGCCGAATTTCGCCTTCACCTTTGTAGAAGTCCAGGGTGGGTGTCCACCTGCCCTCTTCAGCGGGGTGGATGTGAAGTGGGCGCACACAGTGGATGGGCCAGCGCCGGGCGATGAAGGCTGGTGGGTATTCGTACTGGCGCTGTCACCTGCAGTTGTCCCTAGTAGGCATGGGGAATGTTTTCGGCTACTTGGTGGTGCAGACTATTTAGTAGGATGGGTGGTATTTATTTCAAGTTGTAAGTACAGTTTAGCATTGCTTAGGAAGATGCTGGAACGTTGTTAATGTGCCCAGGGAAAGACACTCGGGGAGGGGGAGAGAGAGAGGTCGAATTTCAGTGTGCATGAAAGCTACCAAGCACGTTTACAGTAATTTATTGCTAAGGTACACTCCGTGTCAACACAAATAAGGTGAATATAGCAATATGACAACAATCTGAAAAACAAAGACAAAGCAACAGTTCTTGCAGGTATTTGGTGGCGAGGGTGTTGGTCACCAGTTCCATTATATATAATTTGTGGGTGTCAGCAGTCGTACGGCATGTTTAGAGCACTTAGTAGGCTTAAAACACCATCCTAAAGAGTTCATTTTTAAATCTGAAGGTGTCTTTCCCTTCATTGTGTTCATGATGAAAAGGATACTCAGAAGGGTTAAGCAACTTGTGCTAACCACATAATCAGTTATGGGTGGAGTTAGATTTAAGCCCGTGTGTCTGGCTCCAAAGCACAGGAAATTCACACGGTGTCCCTCCCTACCCAGGACTCATTAAGTGTCTCTACTACCAGGTACTTTACTTTGCTTCTTGCCTTTGAAGACTGACTTCATTTCAGCTTACGTGTACCTGCGAATATTTACCCAAGGGAGAATAACCTGTATATTTGTAATGGACGCATATTAGTGGGTGTGAGCTTTTTGGTTTTTCTTCTTTTGGTGTTTGGTAAATCTTGATTTAGCATTCTCCTTGTTACAAAAATGCCATGTATGTGAGTCTGCCAGCTGCTTTGATACAATGGCTTGGGGAAAAAAATCAGGATATATTTATATACTTTTTCTGCAACCTTCGTACAAGTACCAGCTGTTGAAAGTGGCTACCTTAAGGAAGTGGGGTGGGATGGAGATAGTGTTTTTACTTCTTACCTTATAAAGTCAGGTTTGGGCTTTTCAAAAATATTTGGAAGAAGCCTGGGGTTCAGCTCAGTGGTTCCACTGCCTGCCTCGCAAGTGCAAGGTCCTGAGTTTGATCCCCGGTACCAAAAGAAGAAAACATTTGGAACAAGCATATGTTCTTCTATTATATAAACCAAAAAGAGAAGCAAAAGAATAGAATTAATGCTCTTCATACAAATTGCAAGTAAGAGAAATTTGTATGTGTCTGAACTCTTATCATGGTTTACGGGAGTGACATGGGACTCAGGTGATGAAAGAGGATGGCGGAGTCTTTGGCAGCTTTGCAGGTGTTGGGCAGAGTAAGGAGTCTTGGAGTAAAACTCGGCCATCTAATAGGAGCTGTAGCATCTTCTCCGTCCCTCAGTTTTCCTCCTCAGTGAGAAGGCTTTGATACACACCGCAGAAGAACCCGTTTCTTCCCAGTCTTACTAGTGGCAGTGAGCTTGGAAAGCATCGTTCTTCTCCACGGAGCGATCTGTGGAAAGCAGAGTAGAAGTCAGTTTGGCTGGTCTGTCTCCCGTGAAGTCATGGCTGTAGGTTCTCATGAAACTTTGTGACTTGAGGTACACTTATTTTTAATAATGTAGTCAGGAGCAGCAGGTCACCCTCACATAATCTAAACTGATGTACATGTGTTTGTTAAACATGATCCCACAGTTCTGCCTAGTTCTGTGTAAAATTAACAAAAATCAATGCTGAGAATCTTAAAATTAATACACATCCCTGCTCAGACTTAGATATCTAGAACCAAATATATTCAGACATTTTAAGAATCAAGACACATTCTTATGTTTTATACGTGAAGGAAATCTGAATAAATTTGGTTCATTACAGGTAATCCTGAGAAAAAGATAATTGAAAGATTATTTTGCAGAAGAGAGACATAATTTTAGGTGTCTTCTAACATTTCATTTAAGGTTTTAATTGTGTTTTAAGTAGAAGAAAATCTGAAAGTTTTGATTTAGGACACTTTTAAATCAAATGGCAAACTCTTACCCTACTAAAAAGCCAGTTTGGGTGAAATTTTTTTTCCTCAAAGCAAAGTTGGCCACAGCATTTTCCAGGGTATAGCATTTTGGCTTCCTGGGAAAACCAAACACACATCTGATGTGAATTCTCTGTGAGACAGTGGAAACACCTAGCTACCCAGCATTAGCCCTCTGTGGCCATTTCCTGCCCTGGCATTGGAGGGTGAAAGGGGCTTGTGGCAGTTTTGATTTTTCATAAATCCTGAATGATAGGCTACCCAAGAACCTAGCCCCATAGCTGGGTTCAGTATCCTTTGTTGTAACTGTTTTTGAGTCTCCATATTTAGAAGGTATTTATTTACTGTTTTGTAAAATGCCATTGTTTCAAGTTTGCTCTCTGGGCAACTTTTAGAAACTACTAATTATTTGTTAAGGCGAACGCTATTTGATTTGTTGATGTAGAAGCTGAAACAGAAAACCAAAGCAAAGTTTTTAAACTGAGGAACAACTTAATCTTGCATTTAAATCACTTGCCTCCATCTAAGACACATATTAATGTGCCTGCTGTGTATTACCACTCTGATTGCTACATTTTGTCTTTAACACATGTACACACAGACACACACCCCTGTACCTCGGCACCAGCCAAAGTGAAGCCTACCAGGCACTTGTGTGCGTTCAGGTGGCCACCACCTTCCTTGGACCCTGTAAGCATAGCCGAGCCATGGATGAGGCATGTTGAAATGCGGAAATGTAAATGAGGGCTCTGTGTTCCTTATGACCTGGTGGTCCTGCTGAATTCTAGGATGTGGGAGCGAGGTAAGAGAATGAGGTAGAGACAGAAGAAGCTCAGCTATTAGAAAAGCCATTTGAAGGAAGCCATTTGAGTCAAGGAGGGCATGGACACCTTTCTTGACGCTTGTTCTGGAGACCGTTTGGGAGTCTAATTCAGGAAACATTCTCTAAACAGAAAGCAGGGAAGTCCAACTTGGAATGACTCCGAAGAAACGTTTAGAAGCCTTTTGATCTGAGACCCGGAGGGAACTGGGGGGAGAAATGGGGGAGACCGGGACTCATGAGCAAGCTGCGGCCAGAGGCAGCTCCTGTGTGGCTTTGCGGAGGAGGAAAAGGAGAACTAGAAAGAGGAACGGGTGCTGCCTGTGCATGCCTGATTTGTGGGTTGGCCGTGCCAGGGGAAAGTGAGGAGTGAGGCTGGTAGTCAGCTGCCTGTGTGGGGTGACATAGGGAAACCACCCCACAGCCAGGTCCTCCAGTGGAGCTGTGTGCCAGGGCCCCGTGAGCCCCTCGGCACTGTGGGGTGAAGGGGACTTGGCCAGCAGAGCCCAGGAACAGGTTCCTGTGTCCCATGTTGGGAATTCTCTCGTAACTGTTCCGGCTGCTCCTAGGGACACAGGTTAAGGTGGGACCAGGGCAAACTTGGGCCCAAGGCAAACAAGGTTTCTGTCACCCAGAGCCAAGTCCCCTGACTTGAACACACAGCCGAGCCTTATGAAGTGGCTCTCACGTCATCTGTGACTCTTAATTACGTACTGTTGCTGATGAACCTGATTTGATGGGGGGGTCAAGCTGCTTCTGAGGTTCTGAAGGGACTTCTTACCGCTGCTCCATGTTGATGTGTGCAGAGTGGTGTTTAATACATAAGGTGAGCCTCCAGCTCACCTTTATAAGGGAGTTTAGATAAAAGATTTTGTTGTTTTATTTTCAAAGGGGTTAAAATGACACACTTCTCATTGTTTATTGGTGCATTTTAGGTATACAATACAGTTACATTCATCACCGGGAATATGTTCCTTTACGTGATGTATCTTGGTTCTTATTTTTTCCCATCCTCTGCCCTCTGTTAAACCCCTCCACCCCTCCCTATTTACAAAGGCTTTGTTTTCATTTTCTCATATTTATTCCTTTCCCTTCTTTTCTTTCCCCTACCCCTCCCACTTTCCCTACCCCTTTGGACCTTTTCTTCCTATTTCACATTATCTGTTACACATTCTGAACCTTATTCACACTTTCAGTTTCTCATACCAGAGAAACTATTTGGTACTTACAAATGTGTCCTATTTATTTCACTTAAGAGTAGGGCCTCAGTGAAAACGATACTCATTTTTATTTTCTTGTTCCCCCTTCCAAGTTCAAAGCCTCTTCATTACTGTCTCTTGGGAAGCACCGGCTGTTGGAGGATAAGCAGACTTCCCGGAACTCGAGGGTCAGGGCTCTCCATGCCGAAGGCTCCCCAAGAGTCCCATGTTTAAAATAGTGCCTCTTAACCAAGGATGTGTGCTCACTGGAAACAAATCCAGCCAAGTATAAGAAAAAACATAAGTTCTAATTTTACTACATGGGGATAACGCCTAGTAACATTTTGGTATTATTTTCTGTAAGTCTTTCTATAAAATATATTTCATATGTGATTTGTAGATTTACAGATATAAATCTACTATGCATAGAATTTAATGTCCAGCTTTCTTTTTCATTTAATGGTGATACATTTTCTCATGTAATTAAATTGTTTTCCCATCATATGGAGATAAGATTCTAATTTTTCTCTTACATAAATATGCCATAATTTACTTATCTGTCCTATTTTTGATTGCTTATTACTTTGTTTCATCTTGAATTATTATGAAAACTATTGCAGTAAATATCTTCAAACTTAAATCTTTGCGTTCTACAAAGTTTATATTCCTGTTCTCAGTGGATGACAGCCTGTGAATCCACATCTTCAGCTGCACTGAATCTTTTCACTTAAAAAAGTAACAATATCCAGGTATGGTGTTTACATGCCTATAATCCCAGAATTCTGGGCAGTGGAGGCAGGAGGATCACAGGTTTCAGAACAGCCTGGGGATATTGGTGACTTAGCTAGAAAAATTTTTTTAGAAAATATTTGGGGATATAACTCAGTGTAAAGTCCTGGATTCAGTCCTCAGTACCTCAATGCAAAAAACAAAGACAAAACAGTATTGGTA